GAGCGCCGTAGACGGCAGTCTCGGTGCCGTCTACGGCGCTCGACCGCCGTCTACGGCGCTCGAGTGCCGTACACGGCACCTAGTATGAATGCGGCCACTCACTGGGAAAAATGAAAAAAGTCAATACCAAATGAAAGAAAATGTTCATTAAAAAAAGAAAAGATAAAAGATAAAAAAGATAAAAAAAGATAAAAAGAAAACGTACTTGAAAAAAGCTAAAATCTTTATTCGACTCCTTGTTGCCCTGAGGATGTAATCGAATACGAAACGTTAACATCGGAGGTTCTAAGGTGGCCGCCGATACGTTTGGCGTCGACGTCGGCGGCAAGGGCATTGGCGTCACCTGCTGAAAAACTCTTATAATGGTAGAACTAAAAACATTTACACTCACGTGGTTTTAAGCACTTATCAAGAACAGGATGAATAAAAAAACGAATTTAACTAACAAAATACAAATTGTATCACTGTACTGAGTGAGCGATACTGTGCGTTAAAGCCGCGGTATACCCTTTCTATTAGTAGCCATTTCTCATCTGATATTGTCATCCTAGATCCATATGGGTGAACCTTTACGCCTGGCTATAATCCATGAACCCTCTACAGCAGCGAGAAGGGAAACATATGATGACATGAAACCGTTTAACTGTGTAACTGGGCCGCAAAAAGTTGGCGTACCCATCCCTAGAAAAAGTTCAAGCGCAGGCGGTGATTTATAACACCCTTAGACCCCCATGAGGAGATAATGCAATCTAAGGAAGGTGAGGTAATAAGATACGACGGTAAGATAAGAATAAATGAAATAGTAAGAAGTTGGTACACCTCAACTTCAAGATTCGGTCTGAGAATACTGCTAAAGATGGTCTTCACGAAAATCTTTCCAAACCACTCACTTATTTAAAGAGTTATTTTGTAAAAGTAAAGCACCAGCGTATCTCACAATGTGGCCTTAATAGGAGCTACATATCGTAACGGGAAAGGAGATCTCTCCCAAATCAATTTGGTGAACACTTTTGAATACTGTTCTTTTCTAACGCAATAATATCAAAGAGTGAAATCTGGTGGAGCCGGATACCATAATTTACCAAACGAAGAAGTCGCAATGAGGAGCATGTTCGAAACTGGGCGACCGAAGGATCGAAGTGAGTCTAGGCATATAAAAATAAACTATTCGGCAAAACCCTGTTATTCCTTTTCGTTTCCCCAAATCTGCAACATCTCACTGAACGCTATACTGCCACCTTGATTCAAAGCCAACTGTTGGTCACACTCAATCCCTCTAGTCTACCTCATCACAGAATCTGCTGACTTCGTTGTTTACCGATAAATCACCTCCTTCTTAAGCTGTATACGCTTCGCCCTCTCAGCCTCATCACCCTGAACACCATAAACATCGAATACGACAACGTCGACGACAGTGTTTTCGCTACGGCTTCGTTCACGCTCATAACATGAGTGACTAAATGGGTAGAACAACTCGATGGGGACCGTGTGCGCCGACGAAAACATGTTATTTCAGTGCTCTAACGCCCTTTCATTCCGATGTTGTACACAATCCAAGCCACGAGTGAGTATACTATTTTAGTAAGAGTCAGTCACTCAATTAAGAAGTTTGTAGTTCATTAGTTTAGTTTGAACAAAGTAATGAACAACACGAAAAGCAATAGCAGTTCTCATGCCGCTCCACAACTATGGGAGAAAGCGGAATAGAGTAGTGTTTGTAGCATCTTATCAGTAGGCCAAGCGTATACTCATGACCTTACAGACTACAACCTTAGAAAAAAAAACCCACTAAGTTCCTCATCTCCACTTCTCCCTCACCCGCCATGTGCTCAACCAGTTTTGACACCAGACTTCATATTCATATTTGACTTTCACGGGAACTCTAATTCAAAACCTATTTCGTTGACTTTGATCCCAAGGATAGCGCCATAAGCATAGAAAATGAAGAGCGGTCGTATGGTTGAGCATTTCATACGACCGTTCTACAGCACTGATCAGATCTTACTTACATTTAGTTCACTCTCTTTCGTGAGTTCGCATGGCCACTAAAAGGCTAAATTGTTCTACTTATGCCCAGTAACCATGAAAATAAACAAAAAATATGACCAGCAACATTAACTCAGAAACTGACTTATCCCTCAAGCAGGATGACACAATTACACGAACCGATACGAATTTTTCAGACTTTTTGATCCATAGAAACCTGGGTCCATAGATCCTGTCTATGTAGAAAGTTTCCTTGAAAGAATGTCATCTAGTCAAAGGACCTTCAAAAATAGTGGCTTCTTCATTAGCAAAGTGAGCCAAGAGATGCTGTCGCCTTGCAAAACCATTTAGAAGGAAGTTAACCACATGGAAGGGATAGCCACAAACTGTAGCCTAACTCGATTGCGTCCTTATTTTAACCACGAATATCAAAAAGAAGTACGCCCACGGCTTGAGCCTACGAGTGAAAACCAGCTTCAATACGACAAATTTCTGGAAAAACTACATTGTCCATCGTTTTTTACGGATTGATTCTATACCGACTATGAAAGGATGAAACAAACTCTGTTCTTTGTTCATTTCGTATTATTTAAAAAAGTGTTGAAATATTAGCCATAAATGTATGACCATATGACCGGACAAAAACGACAAAAAATAGAAAACAAAAACCAAACACTGAGTAATATCAGAAATAACAACAACGTATGAAAGAAAAAAAAACAGTTATAAGTTCACTTACTGTGAGATCACGAATCTTCGCCGACGTTTCCAGATATCGGCATTCGCACTGACTAAATCCCTTGATTGTCCATACATGACTGAAATGAAACATTCATCGCTTTGAATAAAACAGTACAAGTTGCTGAATAGATCAGTACGGCTCTATCCACTCTAGCCCTTCATTCGAATGATCAACAAATTAGCAAGTCTCCACCTGTGATTTACAGAACGGACCTCCGTCGTGGACCAGCTATCAGCAGGTCGTAATGGACCCGCACAATCGGCCATCAGACCACAAAAACTGAAACAAAAACACAGTAATGCACAAAAATGCGCTTCGTTGAGAGCATCGCACGATTTAAAAGCCGAAATCATAAAGCATTCTTGAAGGAAAAGAGAGATTTCACAGAAAAGTGCTGTTCTGCTACGATGCACAAGGAACGGGCAAACGGTATTTACCAAATGTCAAAAGAAATGCAGGAACAGAAATTCACGAATGGAACTCATAGATACAGACGTTCGACTATTCTGAATCTGATAAAAAAAGTTTCAAAACACGGAAATTCTTTGCTCTTCCTTGTCATAAAGAGAATGGCTAAACCATGTAACTAATAACTGACTTTTCTAACGAAGGAAATAACATCTAATCAGAAACAAAAAAATGATTGATAAAATGAACGGACAATGTAAACAACATGGAGTTTTTATGAGGTTTAAGAAATTGAAAAATGTGCCTGGTAGCGTGCAGGGCTATAGTGTTTACCAGTGAGCAGAGCCATAAACTTAATGATAGAAAACACGAAAATATTTTCTTTAAAGTTGCGTTGTGCTACCGCAAATTAATTCCGGCGCATAATGAAAGCTGATGTGCTATAATGTGTAATGAAATCATTGCACTGCTAAAACAATGAGGTCTGACACTTGCACTTTACAGTTTCCTCGTGGACCAAACTCTTGAAAGCATTAACAAACTCTTCATCTCTTCAATGAATAGTAGGAAGAGAACATGTGTTCGACTCACCGTGGAACATGAAGTGATTTATCGATGTGTTAAACGCTCTCTTGGAACCACTTTCAACTTCAAAATGTCCTTTGATGAGGATCAACACCAACAAATTTAGGCTTCCAGGTTATGACGAAGGCAGCAAGGCTGTAACTTTAGCCGAATAGATTTGTAGCATCTTGGCTGAGGCTCCACAGAACACCTAGTCGATTAATTGGTAAAAACTACTCAGTCGAACAATGCCTCTACCTACATCAACTGAAAGATCAAATATTAAGCAGTAGGAATAAATGAAAAGTAGAAAAGAAAACAAAATCATGGGGTTCTTGGGAATTGCTAAACTCGCTGAAAATAACGAGTATGGGCCTTAACTGTCTATTCTTACCACTGCAATGCTTTCATATGACACGTAATATATGTATGCGGTGAATACATGAATACTCAAAAAAACTGCTAAAACTGTGGTCAAATGCACCAAAAAATGAAGAAAGAAAAAAGAAAACAGAAACGAACGAGAAAGGAATCATTTATATAGCATTTTCGACTTGTAACTTTCTTCAAGTGGAGAATTAGCGGTGCCAGGCTCACTATTCGCGTAACCCTGGTATCAAATACTACCAGTCTCTATAACCTTTCGGTGAAGTCCCCCATAAATAAAGCTAGCCATTCATCAAAAATACTTATATGATCACTCAGAGAACACGCAGAAACGAAAATCGTTGAATAATAGCTGCATTGAAATGTGGCTGTGGACCAGATGTATGAGCAAGCAGGCAAACGCAAACAAATGGCAAAGGAAAAAACTTAAATAAATATTAAATAAACAAGCCGTTAAATAATGCTCCTGGGGGAAACTGCATTTCCTGTTTTGACTTGATATTCTTGTTAACTCTTGTTAACAAACCGCCACACTTTTGAGACTCTTGCATCGCGTTCTCGAAATAACAGTACTTAACAAGAACAGCAAGTCAAAACAAGTTATAACATGAGCAGCTCACAGCTTAACGATTCAGCACTGATATTGGCTGCGGGATCTCGGTGGTATATAAGAGCACGGCGCCCACCTAGCGCAAGTACAGGTTCCAGTTCCGTCCGAAGCCGAAGTTTTGCTCACAAATCGCCATCAACTTTTTACGATTGAATATCCATTTTTGAAAACTAGAAGTTACTGAGTCACCTGTCTCACTTAAGCAAAAGCTAGCAGGAATGGGCAAATAACCTTTTCCCAGATGAGTCCAGTACGGATGATACGACGCCGAGGAATGAAAGACTAAGCAGGGCTGACATGAACATAATCCATAGACAGCTCAGGGAAACACTACAGGTCCTGTCACTCGAGCAAGTTAGAAATTCAAGCAAAATGAATTCCTTGTAAACTCATAACATCCTAAGGCACAACTGCTATCAATAATTCCAGTCGTAAAAAATTTCGAACATTACACTGGGCTTAACCAGCATGTGATAACAAGGGTTATGTTGTTAGCGATTAACGCGCTTCAAAAGAAAACTCAAAACATGCTGATGTTTTGCAAAAGAATTCAGTTTCGGAGACTCAACACAACAAATGCCACACACTGTAAACAGCTTATGTAAAGAAGCTTCTAGTGGCTTGCATGTTATAAGGGACATTAATCAAACAATATCTCGAAGTGTCTTGCCTCTTCTAAGAACTAATCCATACCTGGAGTTGCTTCTTAATCATCCAATAACAGGCACGTTACTGTAATACAAAAAAGAATTACAACTACATTTCCAAAAAATCTTGGGACATCCAGGCTTCACCAAATCGCACAGGCGCCTTTCAATCGTTCTGGTTGAGTTTGAAAACTACACATATTCACGTTTCTGTCTGCTCTGCAACAGCCAAGCCTAAATTCGACAGAGAATGGCCTCCTAGTTAGTAGTAATCATTACTCCATTTCCCAACTGCCTTCAGTCGTCTTCTATACAGAAATTCTTGTGTGCCAATAAAGTGCCTTCTTCTAAAGCAGTTTCTTCAGGGTGCAACAACAAAGTGAATTTTGCAGAGAACCGTGTTTCACTGGTGAGCGAAATCGGATCTACAAATTGGAATGAGCCATGTCTTCTCCTACTACACAGTCTCGGCCTTTTGTTGGACGAATGCTCGGAAATGTCTGTGGCATAATTGCAAGGATAAGAATTGAGCAAATATTTTCATTGCAAGCGAGAAACTTTTCCAAAATTTCACGCATAATGGGAATCTTAAGTGTTTCCAGAGCTATCCAGCAGATTCGAAGTTCCGATGTATCGATCAAAAGTTTACTACAGTCGAAGATCAGAACAACCGACACAAGCAAACACGATCAAACCAAAAGAAGCGATTAAAGAAGGAGATTGCTTTGGAAGGATTCTTAAGCCGAAATCATCGAAGATCCTTCTTTTAACATGAGACCATCACCAAAGACAGCGGAAGGACTAAGAATGAGGAAATCTGATAGCACCCCAGAAACGGCTGAACATTAAGCATCAAAAACGCGTGCAGTCACGAGGCGGAGTCACGGAGACGGAATAACGAAACGAGTTTCAGGAAACTGTACATGTGAACTTGTTCCCGGTACACATTGTATACCGTAATACACGCCTTAAAACCACATTTACATGAAAAAAAATCCTGGCGATAGTTTTTTCGATATTGTACTAGAGACTACAAGACATCTGTCTATTTTCCAATTCTATGTACCAGTTTTTTTTTCCTCCTCTACTGTTCTTTGTAGGCTAGACTGAGAATGCATAGGAATGTTTTATGTAATGTTACGATTTGTAGACTTTCGTTTTCAGTCGTTCTTTATGGCTGAGTGAGAAAGGTTGAGTGGAGGACTATTCAAAGGGAAATGTCAAGACTTTAGCATCTTTTATTGATATTGCATCATTTAAATAACAGGGAAAAAAGAAGACGAGTTTTTCCTTATTGTTAGTCATGGAACCTTATGAAAAGAAGTTCTTAGTAGTTTTTCACGAGTCGAATGAATAGAACAGTCACCGCTGTGATAAGAACATGAGATTTATTATTTATTAGTTTGTTATTCATGTGGGTAATGATAATATCAGAAACAAGAGCATCATGGGAGCTGGCCAGTTTTACCGGTAGGGTTTAGTGGCTTCAAGACTACATTTCAGCCTTTTCCACTGGGTTTTTGGGGCTATTTTTTGACAGAATGATCAAAAATGTGCCTGACTAGTTTATGGTCACTGTCTTCATTTAAGTGTGATCACCGGTAGATGATGGGTATGGAACAAGAATATTTCTTCAAGCATAACTTAAATAAACAGCTTTGATGAGAAAAATTCAAATAGGATCTAATAAATTGAAACAATTTGAGGGTCAACGTCACAGGATAACTCCCAGTGAGAATTGCTACCAATGGCCTAAAGAATTCCTTCACATTTTTGCTATATGCCCATTTAACCCCTGTTTCCCACCGAGTGTGACTGCTGAATGGAGTTAGGCGTTAATGACCTCCAACCTGAAATTCGGACCTCCTACAGTATTTTCAAACAAAACAATTACTCAGAAGAGCGAAAGAAAGTTTTGGAACATCTGGAAATGACCTAGCTATGGATGAAGTAATTAGCCCGGTGTAATAGCGTATGACATTTGTCAAGGGTCCGGAGGCCGCCCACGTCAACCCCACAATGACCTGACCCACGGCCGTCATGGGCAATTCCAACGCTGTGACCGTAGGATACATAAAGACAAGCGGGTAAGCACTTTGGTATTGTTTACTACAAAATCATATTGAAGTTCTAATTGCCAGAAATTAACGAACGAAATTAAGCCATGCATTCCGTTGGATTAAGAATTTCAAACCTGATTGAATGGCATTGAAGCCTTCATGAGGTCACGGCACGCTTCTTGTAGCAAAGATTTCCGTACACAATAAGTACATTTTTCAGTCCTACGTCACGTGAGCATAGAAATAAACAGGTTAGGGCAAACAGAGAACATACCAAGATAAGAAGGGTTCAAAACAGGAAGTGCACATTGGGTACTCCCCTATAAAATATGTCAGCTTCCAAAGGCCCTTTTGGAACAGGTATTGAGATAGAAGAAATAGTAAACAAACTGGAATACTAGGAAAGAACAAAGCGATTAATTACTTTCAAAAAGTTGTGATACAGCAAAAAGATTTGATCTTTAATGTCTTCTTAGAAGGAAGAGAAGGGATCAGAATTGGAACCAACAGATTAGTCCGTTATGGCGACGATGGTAGCGTTAGCGGAACCGCTACGGAAGGAGTTGGGTGAGTTTTTGAGCTGAACGGTTACGCGTCGTACACGATGATGTGCTGTGCTGCGTTGCGCTACGTGGCGCTGAGTCAGTCAGCCGGCACGTACGGTTACGCCCCAGCGG